AGCTGTGGTGGCGGTTTTTTTTGGGGGGGGGGGGGGATTATGACACGTCTCACCTTTATGTTAATATTGTTTTATTTGATGCACTCAGCTTTGAACTGCACCAATCCAGCAACTGCTGCATTTTAATAACTAGTATTATAGGTGAATACACCAATATTTGCACAAGAATAATTTCTGTTTTAAACTCTCAGTGACACACTTTGCAGGGGGGATTTGGCATTTAATTTTCTTGGCGTCTGGAAAAACATCTCTTTTTGCCCCCCTTTATTTGACTTTCTGCCCTCTTTATTTTGGTCCAAGATCATTACTGGGCTGGCCCTATTAAACACGTTCTACACCCCTGCTTAGTAGACTTAATGAAGTATTTTTAAGCCAGTATAAAAATGACTGAAACACAAATTGACATATTTGGCATTATTGACCAATATCTTTGATTTAATTTATTTGTTAAGAACATCAAGATGCATTACAGTGAACATTATAATAAAGTACATTTTTCTAGAGCAGAGAGGAGACAACCCATAGAAGCACTGATTTGATCTCATTTCAGAGAAAAATAGAACAGGTCAGATGCACCTAATAAATAAAATTACTAACAAACTCAGGAATCTGTTTCTTTGCTTCATTGTTCTGGTGCTGAAAATTTCACTAATGCAGATCAAAGGAGATACGCAGATGAATGCACCTCTTATGTATAATTTGGAAATTAGTGGGTGTGGTTTACATCAATACATTAATTTAAATCTGAAATTGATATGGATTGATCAGAAGTTGCTATGTGTATTGTTTATTTGAAAACTATTTACAGAGCAGCCTCAGAATTGAGATGAAATATTTTTGATCACAATAGTAAAGGAACTATTACAGGTTTTTCAGTAAAATCAGAACATTAATATTTAAGTACATGAATTAATGCATCTGAACTCATGCAGTAGGAACTAGGAAATATGAAATACTAGAACCAGACATAGCTTTTGAATTTTTTTATTTTAATTTGATTAAACTGATTTTTTCCTAACGTTGTTGGCATTTTTCCCACACACAGTTAAACAAAACTCGACACACTGTGTGTCGAGTTTGGTGGCAGGAGAATCTCGTCTCTGCTTTTTGCGGATGATGTGGTCCTCCTAGCTTCATCCAGCTCTGACCTTCAGCTCTTGCTGGGTAGGTTCGCGGCCGAATGTGAAGCGGCTGGGATGAGGATCAGCACCTCCAAATCTGAGACCATGGTTCTCGACCGGAAAAGGGTGGCTTGCCACCTCCGGGTCGGGGGAGAGGTCCTACCTCAAGTGGAGGAGTTTAAGTATCTCGGGGTCTTGTTCACGAGTGAGGGTAGGAGGGATCGGGAGATCGACAGGCGGATTGGTTCGGCGTCTGCAGTGATGCGGACGCTGAGCCGATCTGTCGTGGGGAAGAGGGAGCTGAGCCAGAAAGCCAGGCTCTCGATTTACCGGTCAATCTACGTCCCAATCCTCACCTATGGTCATGAGCTTTGGGTAATGACCGAAAGAACGAGATCGCAGATACAAGCGGCTGAAATGAGTTTCCTCCGTAGGGTGGCCGGGCTCAGCCTTAGAGATAGGGTGAGGAGCTCGGACATTCGGGAGGGACTCGGAGTAGAACCGCTGCTCCTCCGGATCGAAAGGAGCCAGTTGAGGTGGTTTGGGCATCTGGTCAGGATGCCTCCTGGACGCCTCCCCGGGGAGGTGTTTCGGGCATGTCCTGCCGGCAGAAGGCCCCCGGGTCGACCCAGGACACGTTGGAGAGGTTACATCTCCAATCTGGTCCGGGAACGCCTTGGGGTCCTGCCGGAGGAGCTGGTGGACAAGGCCGGGGAGAGGACGGCCTGGAGCTCCCTAGTTGGGATGCTGCCCCCGCGACCCGGACCCGGATAAGCGGAGGAAGACGAGACGAGACGAGACGAGTTAAACAAAACAATGTTGATTAAGGTGTGTGTGTGTGTGTGTGTGAGAGAGAGAGAGAGAGAGAGAGAGAGAGAGAGAGAGAGAGCGAGAGAGAGAGAGAGAGAGAAGGAGAGAGGGAGAGAGAGAGAGTTAAAATAATTTTAAAAAACGACCGGAGCGGAGGCAGAGACCGACACATGCACGAGCCGTTTTCAACTCTGTCTTGTCAAATGCACCACGTACGTTACGAAAAAAGTAACTTTAAATATTAAACCGAAAAAGAGGCGAGCTGAAGAAAACCTAGGGAGTACTGAAGAAACGTGAGCAACAGTGAAGCAAGCACAGAGATCCATTAATGTCTGTGTGTGTGCGTAGTTGCATGGGCCGGACTGAGCTCCCGACTGCAGAGTTTTGTGTGTAGGGAGGGGCGGGCGCTCTATGTGACTGGCCAATCACAGAGCGTGAAGACCGTCAGTTACCCAATGAGGATTTTCCTTCAGCACGATTACTGATATTTACGAGTTTAACTCATTTCATGCTCGTAATCGTCAAAAATGCTTTATCCGTACCATCTGGCTCATCCCTAGCTGTAACCACCGTGCCCTGCCTCCTCCTCCTTGATGCCTGCCGGCTGTGATCACAAGCAACAACAGAGTAGTTCCCGCTGCTTCTTCGAGAAACAGCGCAAAAAAAATAAATAAAAAAATCAATAAAACTTGGGATCTTGTAGGCGTGGTGCTGGGATTTCAGCTATGGCGGGCCGCCACGGCTACACCTATGTAAGGGAAACACTGCGTAAAAATGATTATCTTAACATGCACTGTAATGAAATGTAAGCAATACGTCTTTTTTTTTTTTTTTGCTAAGCATGCCCCCTGCCCCGCAGAGCTCTGTGCAATAGGAAACTGAGCGCTGACCAGAACTTACCAATAGCATTAGACTACCGCTTACTTGCTTCAAATTTAAGGAATACCTCGGCTGATGCAGAGTTGATTAACTTTTCACGGACAAGTAAGTCTCTAAAATATAAATATATGAGAACATAACATGACACGAGAATAATACTCGTAAAACAACATGTTTTAGCTCTGTTTGTCAGCTACAGAAGCACATTTATAAACAGAAACATGAAGTCGCCATCTTAAAAAAAAACAGAGCAACATACTTTTTGTGTGATTTGCTTGTCAGCCACTAGATGGTGTCATCGGATAAGAGAAATACTCTGGAAAGAAGCTTTAAGTGTAAAGGTTACTTTAAATGTCAAAAATAATTGAAAAACCCTAAATAATGAATTAATATTATCTTAGAGTTTTGGATTTTTCACTAAGCTACAGACATACAGAACTAATGTCATCTGGACTTGGGCAGGATTTTTTATTACAAGTTTAAAAATTATTGATTTTATTTCCAAAACTAATGTTTTGTTATGTCCCAAAAGAAGAAAAGAAGAAAGAAAACAAAAGTCAGTCTCCAGAAAACATCTTGGGGGTGTGTACACGAGTGCTGATTGTGCTCATACAAAAACAATCCTTGCGTCAGCATTGGTTTTGTTCCTCTGTTTGCATGTGACAAGAGTCAAACTCAGGATTTTTGCAGATCCACATTTAAATCAACATGTTTTCATACTCTCGTATTGTACTCTCATCATTAAATTTTAGCGTCGCTCACAGGGTCTATCATTGTTGGTTGATTGCAGAGCAAAGTTGTAGGGTTCTGACAGTGCTGAAAGACTTCTGGAGGCCAAATCTGATCATGAGAATGCTAAGCAGCCACAGACCTGCTAAATCACCCTCACGTTCACTATTTTTTGTACTGGCAAGGGCGGTGGGAAAACCCAGAGTGTGGCCTGAGCTTTAGTGGCTCTTCTTCAGACTCACATCAGCAAATAAGTCAAGATTTCCCCCCAAGAAAAGTACTTATCTCATCCCCCCACAAGGTGAAGTCAATGAATCAAATTTGTTTGATGAAACTTGGCTGTTTTCTTATGTGAACATCACACTGAAAAAAACAAAGAATGCTTAAATCAAAAGCACTTCCATATAACTAGTTTGCCTCTCCACTCAGGAGAACAGCAATGCAAGCAAATGTCTCTGCTGTGATTGTTTGTTGACAGCTGAAGCCATCCGTCACCCAGTAGGGAACCGGGGGGGGGGGGGGGGGGGGGGGGGGGGGGGGGGAGTGAAGTATTCCCATGAAAGTTGTGTGTGTGTGTGTGTGGGGGGGGGGGGGGGGGGGGGGGGGGAAGCAGAAGGACACAGATAGTATAGTACCTGGCCATTTGGCAATCACTTATTGGGTGGAGTGAAGTGTAAAAGTGGAAATTTATGGCTCACCGTAGAAAACAAACACTCTCCCCAGAAAGTCTATCCTTGAGGGAAAGTTTAAAGTAGCATTCTTTAAAAAAGGCTATATTATAGTTCAATGACAGCTACCTCCTCTCTTTGACAACAAATAACTTTTGAGTCCAAAGAAAGAGAGAAGCACAGACTGTTGGGTAGTGGAGCCTTCAGGCTACAGATGGGAGTCATTTACTCCTCCCTGTCCCAACACTGGCTTAAACACCACCACACCAAGTTTATTTAGGGCTCAGAGCCCAAGAGAGACCCTGTTGCTTAATTACTTCAATTATAATACTCAACTTTATCATATTCTTTTGCTGTTCTCCACTTCCGAGCGTGGAGCGTAAACATCCAAACCCATCTACCCACAAGTCCAGGGAGCTATTACACTGCTGGACAGTTTCCAAGAAACACATTTTTAAGGATTTGATTTCACTGCCTCTTTTGCCCATTTTAGAGCTGAACCTGTGTAATAGTCAGACAAGCCTAAAATTTTTACAGTAGGTCTTATGAATGAAAAACAGCAAATTTCCATGAAAAAGCTGTATACAACTTTCTTAAATGTACAAAAACTATTTACTAATTTAATAATGAAAAGGGAACAGAGAAACATGTTAACTACGACTTGTTGAGTAAAGTGTGCTGAAGAAACATCAGGAAATTAGGGATGGTAAGTGAAGATGAACACTGCAAAATACAGGTTCTGGATGTATAAAATGACTTAAAAAAACTGCACAAAGTTATAACACCTGCCTACCTTCATCTGTGTTAGCAGGCCGACACTGGGTCCTTAAAATTTGGACGAAAAAAGTCAGAAACAGAAGTACACTTGGCCTCATCAGCATCCTGCTGAGAGAGCTACAACTGTTGGCTTTTACGTGACTGGAACTCCATTCAGATCCCCGGGACATTAGCTGCACGTCATTCACAGTGCACAGCTAAAAAAAAAAAAAACAGAAGAAATAAATAACTCATTAGGGATCAAGTAGAAAGACGATCATGTTAAAACAGGAGGAAAAGACAACATTTGCTGAAAGCAACTGGACTTTAACATGTAAGAGTAAATTTAAGTTCAAAGCAACACAGTAAAAAAAACTAAGAACAGGAATGGCAGCGTTCATTTTTGTTAGCAAGTGATTTCCTCTCCCATTAAAGAAGAGAATATCCTGTATGTTTACAAGGGTCAAGGCGGGACTTCAGCATTTATGCAGACTTGTAGAAAACACAGATAAGAAATTGCAGAAAACCAGACTTGCTCTGATAGCTTGTGATAAAACAACAAAAATACAATCTTGCTCTTATTTGAACATTTAAATGACTACAGAAATTCTGGATTTTTTTATTAACCACTGTATAGGTTTACGATCCATGTTGGCATGAAAAAAAAATACATCTGTTTGAGTCATTATTCAGGAGCATCTGGCCACTGAGATTAACACTTGGCCACAACTGGCATATCACAATCCTATGCCTTTAAGAATTTGTTTTAGCCAAAAACTCAAGGCTGTTATGGGAAACCAACAGAGGCCAACATTTTCACACTTGGAGATCCATCACCTAACAGTTGGTTTTATTTCCTAAACCCAAATAACCCCCCACAACCATCTGTCCCCATGAGACTTCTAAGAAACTCAAGCCTAGGAATACATGGCTCGTGACTGGAGGAAAAACAAATTAAAAAATGCGGTCAATGCTGTACAAAAAACAACAACAGGGTCATCTCTAGGTTAAGAAAACCCGATCCTGATTGACATAAAGTCCTGCACAGACACAGCTGTGATTTCCTTTAGGAGGTAATCACTTTTATGAATGTTCCTCTCTGAAACAGTCGTGTTCTCATCAAAACCAATTCAATTTCACTTTCCAAGAACAGCTAAGGCGGGTCAAGGGGGAACCAAGGGGGATAAAGAAGCTTGGTCATCTCTGCTCAGTAAGCTATGAGTCAATGTTTGGGAAAATGCTTTAGCTGTCACACAACCGCAAAGAGTAGTGGACCAGCCACTCACGAGCCATCACCACATCAGGATTTGAAAGAGAAAGGATTTTGTTTTTAAGTGTGTGACAGGGTGTTTTTATTTCTCTCTCCTACAGGAGCATGAGTAAAACAGGGTTTTGAGTCATTTCTTGCGCACGCACACACGCGCGCACACACACACACACACAAAGTATTGATTTTGTGAGATAATCAAAAACGTGTCAGCCTTGAGCATGGGTAAATTTTTGTCCCAATTATATGTTTCAAGATACAACTTTGTGCTAATTAGACCAATCATAAAGTACTTTTTTGTATTTTAAGCCATTGAAAGTAGACTGCACATACACACCCATTAGCTGGGTAAAATGAGCATGTTTTAATTTTAGACTCTAATTAATTGGATCAACAACCTAAATTATCCAGACTAAAAGAACCCAATAAACTACAACCAGTCCTTCCTCTAATAAAAACTTAACTTAATTCTTTCCTTTCAGCTGCCAAACATCTGATTCTAAATGTGAAGTTTTTTTCAGCGTTAATTTAAAAAATAAAGCCAGAATAACACCAACTCATATTTCCTTGCTACTGGTTTTACTGATTTAACAAATGAGGGACACAATTAAATGTCTGATAAGAATCCCAACTAATGCTCTAAAAAATAAAAGTGTTTCACTGGTGATCTGCCAAACTAACAAATAAAAGGTTATACCAAACTGATTAGAACATGCACGACACATTTAGCTTCTCTCATTGTACAAAGACAAAGGTTACAGACCTAAACCCATAACACGGCCCACACCATAATCACTGTTCACTGCCATCCATGCATAAAATTCCTCAGCTCCCTGATTATGTACCACCGTTTATCCACCCTTTCCACTTTGGTCCATTCTTGTCACCAGCACCAGTCTGCACATGGTAGCAGTTCAGTGGCCACAAGATCATCAGACCATCTCCCTGAGGCTACTGTTTTCACAAAAACAGACACCTCTGACTTCTTCCCTTCCTCACAGTCACAAAGTCTGAAAAGGTGGTTCTACAGCAGCATTAAAAGCAGGATATCAGTTGTCAGGTACTGAAATGCAAAGAATCATTTTCAGCACACTATGTACCGCTCTGTAGATGAGACCGTTCAGTCTACAAACAAGAAAAGTAACATTTAAAATCTGCCTAAAATGTTGCAACATAAGAAACATCCTAAATTATTCAGGTGCTTGTATAACTACACTTCTGTAGTAGGTAGGGTTGTCATGGTAACCAGTGTAGTGGTAAACCCCGGTAAAAAGGTTGACGAAAATATATTATCTCGGTGGATTACCGTGGCTGCGGTGTAGGCGCGGTGACCCTTACGGTGACCCTTACCAGCCACCGTATCATCTGCTGAAGTTGCCGGCGGCACATGCGCACTTTGTTGTTTACAACCAAAACTTTCCTGAAGCTAAAGCTGAAATAATGGCCAAAGGAGGAGACGACAGCGCTCAGGACATTTATTATCCCTCAAAGAAGACAATGTGGGAAGTACGGGCATTTTTGGGATATTTGATGAAGGCCGAGGGACAGTTGATAGAAGACGTCTATCCTGTTTGCAGCACGTGCAGAAAAAGTGTCTGTGAAAGGCAGCAACGCTTCAAATCTCATGACACATCTAAGTGACCATCACCCACAACTCTACAGTCAACGCAAGGCAAGTTAACGTTAGCGTTTTAGCTAAAATGCGTGATCCGAGGGTTTGGGTTGAGGGAGAATGCAATGAGTCGCTATATAAAGCAGCCGCAGCGCCGCTACCAGCATATAAACCGTGTCGCGAGTGTGACGCCCACAAAGTGTGGTCACATAATTTTGTTAAAGTATTTAGTGGTGTAATTTAGTAAAAGTAATAAAATAAGAATAGGAAAGTGTGGGGTGCAATACCGAGGTTCTCCACAAGGTGGCGGGGGGGATGCGAGACGGCTAGTGGAGCGCTGTGTCCCATCTACCGTTATTCGGGAGCAGCAGTTCACAGAAACCACTCCATTCTGATGTCTCTGTCTCTTTTTTTTTGCATTTCAGGTTAGTAAAGTGCACCCAAGCATACAAATCCACCTATATGAGGTGCGCCATGAGTTTATAAATGTAGTGACGGTTGATAGCTTATGCTAAAGGTTCAGTTATAGAGTTAATTGGACGTACATAGCCGTTAACGTTTTATGCCCATAGTCTAGCCTCACAGGCAAATAGCTCAACTGGCACCCGGACGTTCCCTCAATAATTTATATTTAAGCTGTTAGTGGGGATTGTGCCGGCCCGATACCTGCAACACGGACACCCCCATGTTGAAATGACGCTATGCATTACGGGGCTCCCAGGGGCAGATAAGAGTTGGTCTCTCTCCGGGAATCATTATGAATTTAACAATGATTACTGCCTGATGACATTTTCCCACATCTGCAAAGCTCACTGGAAGGACACAAACCGAGGACAATATTTTCCTGGTATAGGGTTTATTACTCAAGTAAGGGTAAAAAAAGTATTAGAAGGCTACTTGAGTACTGAGTATCATCTGATCTATTTTTAAAATAATGACATCAAACAGACAAAAAATAAGAAGTTATGGGCAAATATTGGTATTTTAAAGACTAGAGGGGAAAAATATAAACAAATAAACAACATAATTACAAAATAACAAATATTAAGCAAAATTTAGACAAACTGAGGACAATATTTTCCTGATATACAGGGTTCATTTAGTTGTCTGAAAATGTAACATCTTTAAAAAAAATACAGCGATAATACCGAAAACGTGATAATTTTGGTCACAATAACCGTGAGGTTAAATTTTCACACCGTGACAACCCTAGTAGTAGGGCTGGACAATATATCGGCATCAATATCAGCCCGATAAATAAAACCGGGCCAATATTAACAACCGATATTTTTTCCATCTTGTTTCCATTTGTTTGCCTGTTTCAGAGGGTGAAGGGGGTGATGTGTAATTGTTTAGTCATGTGAACAGTGAATTAAATCATCTCAGGACCATCAATGTGTGCATTGTGTGTACATTATGTAAATTCAGCTTTAATAATTTTCATTCTATACAAAATCTGCTGATTTTAGAAGCACTAATGCCACTATATTGGTTATTGGCCATAAGAGTGATCTTAATATTGGATATCTATCGGCCCAAAATTTTCATAACGGTGCATCACTATTCTGTAGGAATAGATGGATTGCTTAATGTTTGAACACTATATAAATCAAAGCAAAGAGCTCAAATGCTACGGGAGCAGTCGGGTAAATTAAAAGGGCAAAACGTTCTTCCACTTGTCATTATGGTTTAGGAAAACTAAAAACTTTTTCTCCCTATATGGTCCTTTTCTTAACCACCCACCTTCACCCTCTCTCCCTTCATAGCACAACATGTTTTATTTTACAGGACATCAGACAAGCCTTTCCATGTTACTGGGTTAAGTGAGGACTCAACATTATTTAGTCTGTCTGGAGCTGGAAAGTAAATGTTTCAGACACATTTGACTGTAATTGTGTAAACAAAAGCACACAGAAAAGGTGTGTGTATGCATGAATTTAAATGAGTACATTAAAGAGGAAAATGGCGTCATGTGCTTTCGAGACATTTTCCTTGATGTGGGGAGCTATCCAGTTTTGCTTTTAAAAGGCAGCTTTAACAAAGAACAGGACTGGGGGCAACACTTTTCTTCTGCTTAAATCTTACCCTTTCATTTACGAGCATGGGGGAGGTTCTAATCTTATACACATGAAGCTCTGATTTCTCAAAGGGAAGAAAAAATAAACTTGTTGAACAAAAACACATTGTCGGTCATAAACATCTTGCAATCGAAAGACAGAATTTTATTAAATAATTTGTCAACTTTAAGGGACACAACTTTTTTTGCACCTTTTTAAAAAACGAACTCCTTATATAAAACTCACTAACATGACAATGGCTAACCCCTTAAACTTGTAAACAAACATGTAAATGAAGCAAAAATTAAAAAGTGACGGAATAAAATTAGTAGCTCACCTTAGTGGCGGGGAGCTGTGAAACAGCCAGTGTTGGGTCAGACTAGGCAGGGTCCAGAGAGGAGACTGGATGCAGGAAAAGATCCAGAAAAAAGGACAAACTGGGAATCCGCTGAGGTTAAATGTGTGGCCCGTTAACGAAGCTCGCACGCGCCGAGCTCTCCGCGGTTAGCTAACCAGTTTGCGCATTTTCGGCAACTTTTCATACAAAAAAAGAATGTCGAGCCAAGGGGGAAAAAAAGAGATGTAAAACGTCGATACGTGTTCGGCATATACGTACTTCTACCTTTTCCTTTGAGTTCCACCTGGACGACTTTACTGCATCTTACCTAAGCTAGTCAGGTCCGAAAAAGCGAGCTTGTGCGTTGGTTTGCGGTAATCTCTTTATCACGTCTCACACGAGATGAAAACTACGGTCCACAGTTACCAAACTGTTACCATCAAGTTCTTAAACTCAGTCAAACAGAATAACCGAAGAGGAAAACAGCACAATGAAAAACTTATTAAAAGTTCGTTGTTAAATTGCTCTTGGGGAAATGTTTTGACCATTCCTGGCGGAGAAACGCTGTTTCCACAACGCGAGTCCAGACAGCTGCAAACCTCCCCCTCTAAAATCTGAGCGTGAACATTCTCCAGACTTCAGGCTACGCGGCAGACGTTACACGCACAGCTTCCGCTTTACCACTACAAAATAAAAGCCTATATAAATAAATAATAATTATAAGAATTATTATTATTATTATTATTTTTATTATTATTCAACTAAATTATTTTATTTTTATTTCACGTATCCCACAATGTAGTTGCTTTGTCTTAAAGTTAATAAGTACTTTTACCTCTTCATCAATAAAGATAGAAAAAAAACCTGAAGAGTATAATTATAGATGTGCCAAAAAATAGCTTGTTATCAAAATCTGTCAATATTAAATATGATTGCGTAATCTGTGATCAGCCAGCCTGAAACAAGCAAAAGAAATCAGATTTTCCCCTTCAGCTCATGAAAGCATCACTGTGGAAGGTGGCAAAATGTCAGACATTTTCCTAGTCCATAATTCACACTAGCAGTATCATATCTACTATGTGAACGTTTTTACATGCAGAATCACGATTGTAAAGTTAAACCAAATTTTAAAAACTACATTTCTATTTCTGGATTATGGTTATGTGGGATGATCGAACGAACTTAAATAGAACTAAAACATGTTCAAAAACAAGCAATGTCTTTAATAAATGTCAGCTTGTGTGAGGATATTATGTTCCACATTCTAAAAGTTTATAAAATGATCCAGCTTGAAATATTTTCCTTTATGTCATCATTTTAATGAGCGTCTCTGAAGGTTTTAATTTGAAAGGTAAACAGCTTATTTTCCGTCCTTCTTCAGGTGTCACATTTATAAATTGACGATGTCTGCTGCGCTTTGAAGGAACCTGGCTCCCCCTGCCATCCACGGCGCCTCTCCAGCAGCGAACCACTAGTACAGGGACAACGCACGCACGCACACACGCGCGCACACACACACACACACACACACACACACACACACACACACACACACACACACACACACACACACACACACACACACACACACACACACCAGGACCATAACTAGGAAGTACCGTTTTAAGAGGGAAAAACAAAATCAGAACAGTACTGATTTACATACACTTATATATGAAACTAACCCGGACTATTGACTAATATTGATAACAATAAAACACACATGGATTTTCAAAGCACACAACATGTAATTTAGGAGATTAGTTTTCATGCAACAAAACAAACATTTCTTTAAATGAGCATTTCAAGTAATTCTCACAAATCTGTGCTGATGCTGTTATGGACAAAATTTTCTTAATTCACATTTGCAAGATTTCAGCAAACTAAAATATTTATTTTCTCAAAGTAAGTAAGCTCTTTCATCAGCTTCCTGTTCAAAGCAGCTATTAAAAGCGCTTTAATGTTCAGACATAAAGATTTGGCAGAATTTCAAAGAGCATTAGCATTTCAAGTGTGTCAGCCAGCACAGCACAAATGTAAAGTTTGCTGTGACAGATCAAACACATAGTTCATATCTGGAGAGTTGATTTGCAGTCATAGTTGACAAATGACTGACAGCTGAAGCTGCAGGGACACATAAAGCCCAGCTTTGTAGTTTGATTAAAGAATGGCATAACTAACTGATTTGTGTTTCGACATGTGTTAGCCGTTCATCTTCCATGAAATGCTTAGGTAGTGTTGGGTTGCACGCAGACTTCAACTTGCTTTTAATGTTTGCTTTACTTTGTTTTATTACAGTTGTGCCATTTTACTCCCTGACTTCTACTTAAAGCAAACATTGTTTTATTGCTGTTATATTGGTTTTTAACCAGAGCCCCGCCGCCTCGATCCCCTATCAGCCAAGCGGATGATGACGTTACAGGATGGATGTAGCTCAGCCCACTAAACAAACTTCTGATGATGGTTTGAAAAGACAACAGAAAAGCACCTCAACAGGAGTGTTACCAGAGATATAAAGACTTAGAATAAGATCTGATGATCCGTCATCAAGATTAGGCCCAAAAAATCTTTTGGAAATAACCATGAAACAATGCTGTCTTTGGTATTTTTTATTTATTCAGTGAAAAGAATAAAACCATTTCTGTCTTTGTGGCAGACTGCTAATGACAAAGTACCTAAAAATCACTTTAAACGTGATCCCTTGTTTGTCACGTGGTAATGTCATACAGATTCAACCTTATGATGCCTGAACGATTCATAGCTGAGAGAACGGTGGTCAAACAAACAGATTACTACTCTGAAAATGGTCGGATACTCAGCTGAAAGTGACCAGAAGACCTATGTGAAAACCCCTCAGAAGGCCTGATGAAACTTAGTTAAAGAGCACTTTAAAATATTAGAAGAAAGCCTGGCTGCTTAGTGGGAATAAAGCGTCTCAGCAATACCGTAGAGTAGAGGCTTGTGATGAAATGAATATCCCTCAGAGAGAAATTTATTTAGCATTTGCATGTTACTTAGCAAGATGAACAGTGAGACTAGTTACTTGTTGGGTTATTAAACTCTGTCGGTCAACAGCTGGCTGCAAAACCGAACTTGTGCAGTTTTACTACTTTATTAAATATTTATTTTTGTTTTGTTATTTCCTGACAGAGGTAAAAGTGATTGGATGTACATCTACATCTAGTTGACTAATCTTAGTCAGTCTTGGAATCTTGAAATAGACACAGCTGAGTCAGTTTTACAGATATTGAGCTACAGTTTGGTGTGGTAACAGCTAAGGGTCGTGCACATCATTCACTCAAATGTCTGCAATTTATCCGTCATCTTTTCTTAATGGTGTTGAACACTTGTTTAATCAGTACATTTGCAGCGGTCTCTAGTAGAAACGAATGCCGTTCTCTGGGGAAAAACATCTGTACACTAGTTTCAGGAAGTAGAAGTGAGCCACAGCTTCAGACGGCAGGATTTGGAGTTTTATTTCCTGATATAAAGTCCCATTAGTCGTCAACACAGACTGGTGAAGTTACATCTCCACATCTGACCCATCCCCATGGGGAGCGGTGAGCTGCAGCATTAGCTGCGTTCGGGAACTATTTGGTGGTTTGATTTTGTGGTTTAACCCCCAAATCCAACCCCTTAACTCTTCAGCTAGACTCCTGTTTGCTGACTTCTCTTCAGCATTTAACACCCTGCAACCTCACATCCTGGATGGCAATCTCCTCTCTTTTCCACCTGGATGATCAGATAATCCTATGGATCCTGGATTTTTTAAACTAACTGATCACAAAGAGCGCTGGTTATCAACACTCTCTCAGATCTTCTTTACACCTCCACTGACTCCCCCAAGGCTGTGTGTTGTCTCCTCTCTTCATCCTCTATACAGAAGACTGTAGATCCACCCAGCCTAACAGTTATCTGGTAAACTATGCTGATGACACTGTGCTCCTGTCTCTTCTGTCAGGCCCCACTGTTTACCACGGGCAGGTCCTGCAGGAGTTTGTGGATTGGTGTGACACCGCATGCCTGGAACTGAATGTGAGCAAAACCAAGTAGATGGTGGTGTCCTTCTCAAACAAACAGAGAGCACTGGTTACCGCTGCCTCCACCATCATTCATGGAAAGCTGGAGCTGGTTGAAGAGTATAAACATCTAGGGACCACCTTTGATCACCTCCTGAAATTTGCTTCCAACACTGAAAGTGCCAGCAACAACTCTACCTCCTAAGATATTTTCCATCCCCTGCTGGTCAGCCTGCAGTATAGAAACCGTCTACAGAGCACTGTCAAGGTGTGCTCTCGGATCTCGGATCATTGGACTACCACTGAGGAACTTAATGTCTCAATGTGACCAGCATACAGGAAGTTGAGCACAGAAAATCCTTAAAGACCCCTCGAACCCTCTTCATTCTGAGTGGCTGCCCTCCAAACGCCGACTTCGATGCCCGTGCTGTAAAACACAGAGGATGAGTTCCTTTCCCAGAGCTGTGCTTCTTCTTAATTCTTAGTACAGATGGGGTGTGTGTGCATTACTTGTATGTGTGCGTGCATGTAGTTGCATGTATGCCTGTGTATTTGAATGTGCGTGTGTGTGTGTGTGTGTGTGTGTGTGTGTGTGTGTGTGTGTGTGTGTGTATAAAGGTTTAGTCATAGTTGATCATTCACATGTAAATGTATGAGGTGAATGCATATATAGGTTTATGTAAATTGATTGAGTTTTAGAGCCTAGAGATTTTAGTGTCTGCTGCATCACAATGCTGTTTCAAACTGCCCTTTGGGGATTAATGAAGTTGCCTTGAATCTTGAATCTTAAAGCTGAGTGTCAAGCAGAGAGGCATTGGGTCCGATTTTCAAAGTCTTTGGACATCTCTCCTCTGATTGGATATCAGCAACGCAACTTTACCACTGGCTCTGTTTGCGTTGCAACGTTAATGTTTTATCTCCACAAATAACTCAAGCCTAAAGGAGTTCTGCCGTGTGGTGGAGTTGCTAATGCTAACAGTTAGCTTCTACTAGCTGAGACATTCTCTGCTGTTTCCTGGATGCTAAACCAATGACAGCCTTCCCCATTGCAAGTCAAGATGGGTGAGTCCATGAACGTTAAGGTGTGATGTAGATCTGTCAGGTTTTTCTAATCCTACATTTTCACTGTCTATTTTCTTTCAGAAGCTAATGCAGGAGTTAGGAGTCGGAAACTATTTGCATATTCAGCCTGCATGACAAACTCAGTGACTGATTATTATCAGAAATAAGATTTTTTAAATGGTATCTCAGTGTTCCATACCTTTAAATCTCAACTGTTGGAAGTCAACCCTTAAAATGTCTTATGAGCCACTGAGCAAATTTAATGAAACTCTCAGAAAGGAATCATTGCATGCACATCTACAACTGATTCCCTTTTGGAGTTAATCCCATTCAAGATGGCTGCCACAGCTAATAGACCATAGCAAACCGAAAACCAAATAGCTGTAATGCAGTCAGTACTGTAGATACTGAGCTACATATTCACATGGTAGATGAGTTATCCACAACATGAAATCCAGATTACACAAGATTATTATTATTATTAACATTATGATTTTCAAGCTTTAACCAAAATGAATGGTTTTGGTCTTGGAATAATGGGCC